CATCGAGTCTTGCGTTGTCCAGGCCCATCGAGTCTCACTGGGGCTCCTACGTTTGCCCAGGGATCCGGCCTCGTACCGAGCCTCCCTGGGGCTCCTACGCTTCCCCAGGGATCCAGCCTCCTATCGAGCCTCCCTGGGGCCTGGGGCTCCTCTGGAAGCCTGCAGTGAAGCAGCGTGCGCGCACCAGCTGGGCGAGTGCGTCCGATCGCCGGGCCAACCCGTCAGCTGGGGAAGGGTCCCAACTGGCCGGTAAAGTCAAGCAGTGGCGAAGCGTCCTGGCGTCTCTACAGGCCTACCAAAGAGTGCTCTAAGAACATTTCTGGTTGGGACTGTTTTGCTTTAGCACATCGGGTTATTCCCAACCTAGGCTCTGCCTAGAAGGGTTCTTACTCGCTTGGTTTAAAGGGCCGGGCAGTGGAACCCGCCCCGGGCTGTTCCCCAGGTCACCTGGGAGCCAAGCAAAAGCAACAGCAAAGGTAAAAGCAAACGCGCGGTTCCCCCAGTTGCGTTTCCTGGGTCCCAAGCAAAAGCAAAGGCAAAAGTGAAGGCAAAAGCGAAGGCAAAGCAAAAGCATAGCATAGCCTAGCATAGCATAGCATAGCATAGCATAGCGCAGCATAGCATAGCGCAGCATAGCATAGCCTAGCCTAGCCTAGCCTAGCCTAGCCCGGCATAGCATTGCGCAGCATAGCATAGCATAGCATAGCATAGCATAGCATAGCATAGCATAGCATAGCGCAGCACAGCATCCACGACGATGAGGGGAAGGAGGGGGACGGCGTTTACCGCTCCTACTAATGTTGCTTTCCTAGAGGCTCCAACTCCTAGATAGGGTCGCACGGGGATAACTTTCTGAGAACATTGCTTTTGTTCTCAGAACCTTTCTGGGTTCTAGGAACATATTGTGGTGGCCCTGTAGGAATTGCCGGGACGGCCGGTCCCTGGTCCACAGTTCGCCGGTGAAGACATTTTTCTGCACGGACGAGATGGGCACGGAAAGAATGGGTACGATGCCCAACAGCAGTTCCTGGTCAATTTGGACAGGACTCGCTGTCCGCGCCGCCGCGGCCCGTGTCCATTTGAGACAGTTGGCCGCCTGCCCAGCAGCGGCCGCTGTTGGTTTGGGACAACAGTTGTTGTTGGGCATTGTACCCATTCTTTCGGTACCCATGTCCGGTGTCCAAAAATCAGGAGGGGAAGAAACACACAGACACAATTAATCGTCGATTTCCCAGAAAATATTGGAAAATATGGGAAGTGGGGGGGAAGACAAAAACCCAGAAAATATAGGAAAATATGGGGAATCCTTTTATTTGTGTGTATTTATTTGTGTGTCCCAGGGCCCCTTCACATTTGTTGTTGGGCATTGTACCCATTCTTTCGGTACCCATGCTCGGTGTCCAAAAAGACATTTTGTTCGGGCCAGCGGAGGGGGCGGGCCTCGCACGGGGGAGGGATGGGTCGGCAACGCGCCAGGGCGGCCTGTCGCCGGAGCGGCTTCGGGCGCGGGCCAGAGAGGGGCCCATCCGAGCGCCGAGCGCTAGGCCTCCTCCTCCTCCTCCTCCTCCTCCTCCTCCTCCTCCTCCTCCTCCCTTTCCTCCTCCTCCTCCTCCTCCTCCTCCTCCTCCTCCTCCTCCTCCTCCTCCTCCTCCTCCTCCTCCTCCTCCTCCCCCTCTCCTCCTTCTCCCCCCTCAGGTCCCTCTTGCCCGGGGTCACTCTTGCGTGTGGCCCATGGGAGCACTGCAAGAGGCTATACTTTCGGGGGCGGACGGAGCCCCCGCCCTGACACGTCGACGAGCGAGCTGTCCGCTGTCGGTGCTCGAGGGGGCGCCGCGGCCGTCGTTTTCCAGGCTTGCGCCCGCCAGGTCTGGGCCCGAGGTCGATTTCACGAAGCCGTATTTTGCTAGAGGGGGTTTTGCCCACCCCCGATTCTTGGCGGAACACCTGAAAAGGTGCTGCCTCGTCAAGAGCACAACGGCCGGAAAAGGAGCGGCCCAGCACACGGCAGCCACTGCACGTGCGGGGTGGCGTGCCTACTGGAGCAGTCTTAAGGCGGAGGGTTTTCGACGTGTTCGGTGCCTGGAGGCCCTCGCCGACATCAGAACCATCGTTATGTCGGGCGTGTCCCCCTACAGGGGGATTTTAGACGAAAAATAAAACATACACCAACAATACCCCAGAAAGTTTAAACATACCCCAAACATAGTCCCCAGACTATTTTGGTAGTATTTTTCCCAACCATCCTGTGGTGTTGGGTCCTCGTTTTGAAGAGACGTCGCCCCGCGTTCCTTCCTCCTCCTCCTTCCTCCTCCTCCCCTTCCTCCCCCCTCCTCCCCCTCCCACACCCATTCTGGCACACCCCTCACACGTTTCGTGGCCCCATAGGGAGCTCCACCGAAGGCCCCAGTGGCTGCGCCCGCATGCGGTTCCACCCCCCATTCTGGCACACCCCTCACACGTTTCGTGGCCCCATAGGGAGCTCCACCGAAGGCCCCAGTGGCTGCGCCCGCATGCGGTTCCACCCCCCATTCTGGCACACCCCTCACACGTTTCGTGGCCCCATAGGGAGCTCCACCGAAGGCCCCAGTGGCTGCGCCCGCATGCGGTTCCACCCCCCATTCTGGCACAACCCCTCACACGTTTCGTGGCCCCATAGGGAGCTCCACCGAAGGCCCCAGTGGCTGCGCCCGCATGCGGTTCCACCCCCCATTCTGGCACACCCCTCACACGTTTCGTGGCCCCATAGGGAGCTCCACCGAAGGCCCCAGTGGCTGCGCCCGCATGCGGTTCCACCCCCCATTCTGGCACACCCCTCACACGTTTCGTGGCCCCATAGGGAGCTCCACCGAAGGCCCCAGTGGCTGCGCCCGCATGCGGTTCCACCCCCCATTCTGGCACACCCCTCACACGTTTCGTGGCCCCATAGGGAGCTCCACCGAAGGCCCCAGTGGCTGCGCCCGCATGCGGTTCCACCCCCCATTCTGGCACACCCCTCACACGTTTCGTGGCCCCATAGGGAGCTCCACCGAAGGCCCCAGTGGCTGCGCCCGCATGCGGTTCCACCCCCCATTCTGGCACACCCCTCACACGTTTCGTGGCCCCATAGGGAGCTCCACCGAAGGCCCCAGTGGCTGCGCCCGCATGCGGTTCCACCCCCCATTCTGGCACACCCCTCACACGTTTCGTGGCCCCATAGGGAGCTCCACCGAAGGCCCCAGTGGCTGCGCCCGCATGCGGTTCCACCCCCCATTCTGGCACACCCCTCACACGTTTCGTGGCCCCATAGGGAGCTCCACCGAAGGCCCCAGTGGCTGCGCCCGCATGCGGTTCCACCCCCCATTCTGGCACACCCCTCACACGTTTCGTGGCCCCATAGGGAGCTCCACCGAAGGCCCCAGTGGCTGCGCCCGCATGCGGTTCCACCCCCCATTCTGGCACACCCCTCACACGTTTCGTGGCCCCATAGGGAGCTCCACCGAAGGCCCCAGTGGCTGCGCCCGCATGCGGTTCCACCCCCCATTTCGGCACACCCCTCACACGCTTCGTGGGTGGCTCCATGGGGAGCTCCACCGAACGCCCCAGTGGCTGCGCTCGCATGTGGTTCCCCCCCCATTTCGGCACACCCCTCACACGGTTCGTGGCCCCATAGAGAGCTCCACCGAAGGCCCCAGTGGCTGCGCTCGCATGCGGTTCCACCCCCTTTTTCGGCACGCCCTTCACACGTCTCGTGGCCCCATAGGGAGCTCCACCGAACGCCGCAGTGGCTGCGCTCGCATGCGGTTCCACCCCCCATTTCGGCACACCCCTCACACGTTTCGTGGCTCCATAGGGAGCTCCACCGAAGGCCCCAGTGGCTGCGCTGGCATGCGGTTCCACACCCCATTCTGGCACACCCCTCGCACGTTTCGTGGCCCCATAGGGGGCTCCACCAAAGGTCCCAGTGGCACTGCCCGCTTGCGTCCGCCACCACCCAGCACAGCCCTTGTTCCCTGCGCTTCACCCACCCAGAACAGCGCTTCGTAGCCCTATAGGGAGCTCCACCAAAGGTCCCAGCGGCACCGCCCGCATGCGTCCGCCACCACCCTGCGCAGCCCTTGCTCCCTGCCTGCGTTTCACCCACCCAGTACAGCGTTTCGTGGCCCCATAGGGAGCTCCACCGAAGGTCCCAGTGGCACCGCTCGCATGCGTCCGCCACCACGCAGCACAGCCCTTGCTGACCGCGTCTCACCCACCCAGTACAGCGTTTCGTGGCCCCATAGGGAGCTCCACCGAAGGTCCCAGTGGCACCGCCCGCATGCGTCCGCCACCACCCAGCACAATTGCGGCATTCACAACTGCATATGGTTGGGTCCTTCGCCAGGCTAATTTGAATATGTTTGGTGACTGTTTTATTTTTCGTCAAAAATCCCCCTGTAGGGGGACAGGCCCGACTTAAACGAACAACCGGCCCCAGGAAGTGGTCCAGAGGTCCCAGGACGCCGCCGGTTGTCACCGAGCGCGTTCCACTACTCGCAAAGTGCCTACTCGCAAACGTCAGAAAAAAGAACACATGTTTGCATCCGTGTGATTTGTCGTAGTTCCCCCGCGGCGGATCGAGGCCATTTGCGAGGAGTTACTCTGCGAGTAGTGGAACGCGCTCGTCTAGATTTGACAAAGACAAAGCATCGGATGTTTGGGTCCGCACCAAACCCAAGTCCACTTCGGTTCGGCCGATCCGATTCAATGCCGAGCAGTTCACCCGGCTCGATGAGATCCGATGTCGATTTCGGTTTCCCAGCGATCCGATGCAGCCCGTTGATTGCACAACGCAGTTGCACGTTCAGGCGCAGCCGATCCGATTCCCGCTCAAAATCGGTCCCCAGACCACTCCCAGGGCCCATCCTGTCGAGAACCCCCAAAACGCCCATAGATTCCCGACGACGACGACGACGACGACGGCGGCGGCGGCGGCGGCGGCGGCGGCGGCGGCGGGACGACGGCGGCGGCGGCCCCCGCGCGAGGCGGTGTGGGCGCCACAGGCCTCGCCGGCGAGCTTGGGGGCCTCGCGCCCTAGGCGATCGGGGAGATGCGGGCGGAGCAGGCACTCACCACCCACCAAACCACCCCAACCCAACCCGAAGGCTCAGATTTACCCTCGATTTCTAGTGGGGGGGGGGTCGGGAAACATCGAAAAAACACATGTGGAACCCTTACCCCCCCCCAACCCGAAATTCGGGTCTTCGGGTTGGGTTGGGGTGGTCTGGTAGGTAGTCAGGCACGGGAGGATGGGCGGTGCAGATATTGGGCCCCGAGGGATGGGGCCCTGAGGATAGGAAGGGATCCAAGGGTGGATTCACCCTGTTTGGGGCACCTCGTCCTGAGGTTCCCCTGGAGCCACCGAGAGGAGCGGGGGTGCGTGGAGGGATCCTCCACGGTTTCGCTTGAGACCCTTCGGGGCCATGTTTCGGCGCGCCCCAGCGGCCACCCAGCCGTGTCGCAGGGGTTCGCCGGGGTGCACGCGGGACGCTTCGTCGCCGCTGCAAGCGGAGCGCACCCCAGGCAGAGGGCTCTGCGGCCGCAGGAGCGGGGGGCCTTCGGGGCGGCGAAGGGGGGTGGGATGACCAAGGGGGCGGGGAGGACATCACGGCTGGGTCCAAGGGACTCCCGGGATTTCACGGCCCCCTTCCTCTTTCCATGCGTCCCTTGGTCTTCACCTCGTCCGCGCACACGCCTCCAGCCATGATTTGCGAGGCCCCCTCTTGAACGCGCCCCTCCTAGACACCCTAGGCGAGCGGGAGGGTGTTGGGCACAACGCGCACGGGAGGAGCGGGGGGGGTGGGCGTCAGGGGCAGCGGCAGGTGGGGGGGTCACGTTCAAGACGCTGAAATCATCATCTTGCGGTCCGGAGGGGCCCCGGTGTTCGGTCCGTTCCGTGGGTTTGGGTCGGGAAACTTGTTCCATGCCGAGGCGCCGCGTGGCCATCGCCCCTTGAGTAGCGTTCCCTTCTTCTGGCAGCACGACGGCTGTAGGCTCAGGGGGGACGAAGCTTCGAGGTTCGAGGCTTGGGGTTTTCGTGCGTCTTCGTGGGCCCGCGGCGGCGTTTCGGCCTCAGGGTGCCTTCTGGCGGCTGCGCCTCGCCGAGAGCGCTCGGGGGGGGGGGGGGGCCCGGGTCGGACCGGGTGTCTGTTGGAGGCCCTTACTTGACCAGAAAAAGCACAAGGGGACAGGCTCCGGGGGGAACGCATCGCCCCCTGCTCACCCATTCATCGCCGATGGGGGCCCGATAGCCCGCCCCGCCCAGGAGCGTGCGGATTTGCAAATCTGGTGCCCATCGCCGATCTTCTCTCGGCGACGTGTCGCCGACTCCAGCTCTCGATGGTTCCTCCCCTCGGCTGGTCCCCCCTCAACGCTCGCCCACACGGGTGCGGCGAAGGCCGGCAGAAGCTCGCTGCCCAGCGTGCAGCAGGGCTCGCCCGTGGCAGGGCTCGCCCGTCGAGGCGGCGCAGGCATGGAGCCAAGGCGCGCGGACCCCAGACCCCCGACGTAATGATTTTTTCATTACGTCGACCTCCAGAGGTCCCGACCCCTTCCCCATGACCGGCTTTGCATCCTGAGTCGTTTTTTGAGGCTCCCGAGGCCCGGTGAGGGCCCCCGGAGGCCGAAAATTAGGAAAAGCCTCCCGTCATGATTTTTCATTACTCGAGCCCTGACCTTCCAGAGAGCTATTTTTTAGCACTGGAAACCTAAAAACCTAAAAAACGAGACGAAACAGCCTAAAACCAAGACGTAAAATAGCTCTGGGATAGGTTTTTACGTCGGGTGCTATTTTTTAGCCCTCCTGGAAGGTCAGGGAGGGGGTCTGGGGCTGTGGCGACGGGCCCCGCCTCCACGAGGAGAGTCCGCGCGCGCCGTCGCCGGGCCGGGTGGCACGGGCCTCGCGCCTTCGGGGGGGCGCTCTCTCCCCGGTCCGTGGGCCCCGGCGCCCTCGCGCCGGGCCCACGGCTCCGCACCCAGACCCCCTCGAGTAATGAAAAAATCACGACGGGAGGTTTTTCCTACTTTTCGGTCTCTGGGGGCCCTCACCGGGCCTCGGGAGCGTCAAAAAACGACTCAGGATGCAAAGCCGGTCATGGGGAAAGGGTCGGGACCTCTGGGGGTCGACGTAATGAAAAAATCATTACGTCGGGGGTCTGGGCAGTCCGTGCCACACCGCGTGCTCGAGCGGCCGACGGCGATCGACCATCGACGAGCGGCGACGACGACCACGGCGACGAAAACATTTGCGACGCCACGGCGACGATCGACGACGACGACGACGACGACGACGACGACGACGACGACGACCGACGACCGACGACGACGACCGAGGACGACGACGATCGACGCGGAAACCGCCCGCGCGAGGCAGAGGGTGGTCTCTGCCCAGCGGCCCGGCCGCGGCCGCTCTCGGGCGGTGTCGGCTGCTGGGCTCTGGAATTCAAAAAACTGGTTCTTGAATTCAGAAAATTGGTCTTCGAATTCAAAAACTGGTTGCTTTATTCAAAATGTTTTTTCAACAAAGAAAGAAAGTTGCTTCTTGCATGAATTCAAAAACCAATTCAATAATTGGTCTTCGAATTCAACAAGTGGTCTTCGAATTCCCAAAGCCGGTTACTGCATTCTAAAATTGTTTTTTTGTATTTTAAAGAAACTTGGTTTTTCTATGAACTCAAGAACCACTGTTCGGAATTCAGAAACCAGCCCCAGACAGCCGACGCCATGGTCTTGTCACGGCGTGGCCCCCCAGAGGGCTCGACGCCCCGACCCAGAGGGCCTCTCGCCTCGTGACGCCCCTGCTCCAGCCTCGGCCACCACGAAGAGTGTCGAGCACCAAGCAAAGTACCGAGGCTGGGAGGTTCTCACGTGTCGGGCCCTGGGAGGCGATACTCCAGATTTCGAAATAAAGGGAGGGGGTCTGGACCCTCCAAGACAAGCCATTTCAGACCCCCCCCCCGTGGGAGAACCCTCCAAAACATCGTCCCCAGACCCCCCCAGGCCCTCCAAGATAGCCTGGAAGAGACCCCCCCCGAAATGAGACCCCCCTCCCTTTATTACGAAATCTGGAGTACCGAGGCTGGGAGGTTCTCACGTGTCGGGCCCTGGGAGGCGATACTCCTTCGACACCGTTTCGACACTTCCGGGGGTGCTCGACATTCTTTCTGGGATGTGGTCTGTAAAGTCCGATGGGAGCAACATAACTCTCGCCCCGAGTCGTCGCTGCTGACGGTCCTGGGGCCTGGTGTTAGGTCGGGCGTGTCCTCCTACAGGCGGGCGACATTTCTTGTTCTAAAAAAACCAGAGAATATTCAGAAATAGCCCCCCCAAAAAATAGATCCGAAACATCGTCCCCGTACTACTGTTGTTTATGTTTGAATGTTCCTCCTGTAGAGGGACGTGCCCGACTTCAGCCTGGTGAGGGCCCGCGGTGGCCGAGAATCGGCCGAGACCTCTTTGTGTGAGCTTGTTCAGCACGGGGTCCCCGGAGCTCTGGGCCGCCTCCTGGGGACCAGCTTTTTGTACGGTTTCTTCGAAGGGCTTAGGCGACCCGTCCTCCTCCTCCTCCTCCTCCTCCTCCTCCTCCTCCTCCTCCTCCCCCTCCTCCTCCTCCTCCTCCTCCTCCTCCTCCTCCTCCTCCTCCTCCTCCTCTTCGGGTCGCCTGCGGCCCCAGGGGAAGCGCCGTGCACGGCTCTGCGCCCCCGCGGTCCCAGGACCCGGCGAAAGGCCTCCCGGCGCCGAGCATTGCGACGAGCCGCCGCGCTGAGTTCGGGGGGCCCCAAACGGGGTGGTGACCACACCGTGCCTCCGACCGAGCCTCGTACCCGGACCCCCTCGCGTCGTGAAAAAATCACGACGGGAGGTTTTTCGCTATTTTCGGCCTCCGGGGGCCCTCACCGGGCCTCGGGAGCGTCAAAAAACGACTCAGGATGAAAAGCCGGCTCCCGGGGAAAGGGTCCAGACCTCTGGGGGTCGACGTTGCGAAAAAGTCACGACGTCGGGGGTCTGGGTATACCGAGCCTCCCTGGGGCTCCCAACGCTTTCCCGGGGATCCAGCTTCCCAGACCCCCGACGTAATGATTTTTTCATTACGTCGACCCCCAGAGGTCCCGACCCTTTCCCCATGACCGGCTTTGCATCCTGAGTCGTTTTTTGACGCTCCCGAGGATCGGTGAGGGCCCCCGGAGTCCGAAATTAGGAAAAACCTCCCGTCGTGATTTTTTCATTACTCGAGGGGGTCTGGGTATACCGAGCCTCCCTGGGGCTCCCAACGCTTTCCCGGGGATCCAGCTTCCTATCGAGCCTCCCTGGGGCTGGGGGCTCCCGCGGAGTCCTGCGGTGCAGCGGCGTGCGCGCACCAGCTGGGCGAGTGCGTCCGACCGCCGGGCCAGCCCGTCAGCCGGGGAAGGGTCCCACCTGGCCGGTAAAGGGTCCCAGGTGGCCGGTGAAGATTCGGGGACCCCCAGACCCAGACCCCCTCGAGTACTGAAAAAATCATGACGGGAGGTTTTTCCTAATTTTTGGCCTTTGGGGGCCCTTACCGGCCCTCGGGGCCGTCAAAAAACGACTCAGGACGAAGAACCGGTCCCGGGGAAGGGGTCCAGACCTCTGCGGGTCGACGTTGTGAAAAAATCACGACGTCGGGGGTCTGGGGACGGGGTGGTGACCACACCGTTCGGGTATATCCAGGACCCCGGGTAAGGAGGCCCGGTTAGTGGTAGGGCCCTGGGGCCCCTCAATTGGCCAGATTCACTAAACCAGGTTTGCCATAACTGGTGTTTTTCGGGTGACGGCAGTTCCGGTTAGCGGAAGGGGGCGGGGGGGCGCCCCCCGGTACACATCTCTAAACTGGGTTCCATTAAACCCAGTTTTGCCAACGCCCGAACCGTGCGGTGAGTCGGTGGGGATTCGGGGTCACCGCACGGTTTCGGGACTCGGGTCGTTCTCCGAGGACGTCTCGGGCGATTGGGGCATCCGAGGCCCCAGTACCGTGCAATGGCGGAGCGTGCGGTGACGGTGAGGTCTTGGGGAATTTCGAGGTCACCGCACGGTCTGTCACCGCACCGTTTCGGGACTCCAAATGATTGTTCCATTACGCTGCAGGTCTGGGCTGAGCCGTTTCTCGGGCCCCCGGGGGGAGTTCGGGACGATCTCGGCACAACCGCAACGCTCTCGTCGAGGCGCAGCCGCCGGAAGGCATCCCAGGGTTGGAAAGAGGCCGAGAACCGACGAAGCCGACCTGACAGCCTCGAGCTTCAAGACGTCGTCCCAGGGCCCCGATCCGGGTACAGTGCTGTTTTTAATACATGCTCCGCGTGCGGGTCGTGTATCAAAAATGCAGGGATTTAGTTGTAAAAACAACGATCAGCTCATGCACACATTTATTCATAAATTTGCCATGTACTAAAAAGTCATATGTTTTTAGAATTCCTATGTATTTAAACACTGCCCTGTGGGTTGCAGGTCTGGGTGCTGCGAAACTTCGGGTGCGGCAGGTTCGTGTCGTGTCGACGCGGCGGCGACCCTAGCGTTAAGTCGGGCGTGAGTCGGGCGTGTCCCCCTACAGGTTATTTTTGAAGTATTGTTATTGTTTCGTCGAAAATCCTCCTGTTGGGGGACACGCCCGACATAACCCTAGCGCGGGCGTTCAGGGTGGAACGCCACCAGTGGCGCCAGCAATCGACCAGATGTCGCGAGCGATCCCGAGCGATCGGAGGCCGCGATCGCTCATGTCTGAGGGATCCACTTCCCACCCCTTGGGAGATGCCAGAGACGGCAAGCAGGCTAGCAACCTCTGTACGTGTATAGTCATGACCCGAGGAACTGATGTGATGTAGCCCTTGCTGCCGCGAGGATCCGCTTGGTAAGTCGAGCAGGTGATAACCATCAGATCCTCGACTCCTACGCGTAAGCCTCCTCCTGCAACTCCTCCTCCTCCTCCTCCTCCTCCTCCTCCTCCTTCTCCTCCTCCTCCTCCTCCTCCTCCTCCTCCTCCTCCTCCTCCTCCTCCTCCTCCTCCTCCTCCTCCCCCTCCCCCCCAGCGCGCGAGAAGCCCGCGCGCGAGACGCCCCGACACGGACTCCCGCCGCACCCTGCAGGTCTGCAGGGCGCCCGTCCGCGCCCGCTCTCCGGGCGTGCCCCCCCCCAGGCCGTGGGCCGCGCCTGCGGAGGCCCCCTCGCCCCGCGCCTGCGGCCCCGCCGCCGGCGCGGCCCTCGGCGCCGCCGCGCTCGCCGCGGCCGCGGCCGGGCTGGCGCGGAGGATCCCGGCAGACACGCGAGGCGTTCCAGAGATGTCGGGGGAGAAGAGGATACGGATACGTGTTGTCCCCCGTCGTTTTCGGTTTTTCCTGATCCTCCTGGGGAATCCTCGTTGTCACCGCTGGATTCGCCTCGAATTTCTGGTCAGAACGCACCCCAAGAGAGGTCCGGGGACAACACGTATCCGTATCTTTCCGCCCCCCAACAGAAATGGCTTCGCTCAGCGAGCGGAAAACGGTATCAAAGAAATTTGTTCCGCCGTCGGGGACACCTGCCCCATGGGCGGCTGGAAAGTTTATACCCCCACAGTGCCACCGCAAGGGTATAAGCTTTCCAGCCGCCCAGGGGCAGGCGCCTCCGACAGCGAAAAAGTTTATTTTACACCGTTCTTCGCCCGTTATTTCGCTGTCGACAGGGGAGCAGTAAGAAGCGGCACAATCATGAGCTGTCGGAGCTCCACGCGGATTGCTCTGATCGGCGCTGGGGCCCCCTGGCGGCGCCTCCGGCGGCGCCTCCAGCGCCGATCCGAGAAGTCCGCGCGGAACTCGGTACTCCCGACCCTCCCATGTTGGGCTCTCGTTTTGAGCAGGGCATTGTGGTCTCCACTCTTTGCTTCCTTCTTTCTCAGCCTCCTCCTCGTGCTGCCTTCTCCTCCTCCTCCTCCTCCTCCTCTTCTTCCCTCTCGCGGCTCCCCAGGGGGCTGCGAAACGCCCCCTGCTGCCACTCTCGTGGGTTCTTAGGAGGCGCGGCGGAGTGGGGGGTTACGCTGGCCCAGCCAAGACCTCGCGGCTCTGGGGGGCTGCGAAGTGCGCCCTTACCGCCACAGTCGTGGGCTCCTGGGAGGCACGGCGGAGTGGGGAAGCGCGCAGTCCCAGCCGAGACATCGCGGCTCCTGTGGTGGCTGCGAAGCGTGCTTTTGCCGCCACTCCCGTGGCCTCATGGGGGGCCCGGCGGAGGTGTGGAGCACGCAGACCGCGCCGAGGTTTCGAAGTGCGCCCGCGTCGCCGCTTTCGTGGGCTCTCGGAAGGCACGGCGGGGTGGAGGTGTACGCAGACCCAGCCGAGACATCGTGGAGCCCTCGGGGGCTGCGCAGTGCGAGCTGGTCGCCACTTCCGTGGGCTCCTGGAGGCACGGCGGAGCGGGGGAGTACACAGACCCGGCCGAGACCTCGCGGTCTTTTGCTGGAGCTGCGAAGCGCTTGACGCAGTCCCGGCCGAGGCATCGCGGCTCCCGTGGTGGCTGCGAAGTGTGTTCTTGTCGCCACTTCCGCGGGTTCCTGGGAGGCACGGCGCGGTGGTGGAGTGCGCAGATCCGGCCCAGGCCTCGCGGTTCCGACGACGATGATGGCGGTGTCGTTGGAGATGGTGACCATGATGTTTATGATGGTGATGGCGTTGATGATGTTGATGATGATGATGATGATGATGATGATGATGATGATGACGGTGTCATCGTTGTTGACAATGGTAACGATGTTGACGATGATGATGCCGATAATGATTATGGTGATGGTAATGGTGATCATGATGATGACGATAAATGATGATGCCGTTGTTGACAATGATGTCGATGATGATGGTGATGATGATGATGGCGATGACGATGGTGATGATGATGATAATGGTGAGGATGATGATGATGATGATGATGATGCGGATGACGATATTGATAGTGGTGTTGGTGATGGTGATGAGGATGATTAAGGCGATGATGATGATAATGATGATGAGGATGAGGATGAGGATGATGTTGATACTGATGATGCGGATGATGATGATGCTGATGGTGATGATGATGATTATGGTGGTCATGAGCGCTTATGGTGATGCTCGTGGTGGTGATGATGATGCTAGTAAAAGAGAGTGTAATGATCGTGGCTATGATTACGATGATGATGAGGAGGAGGAGGATATTGATGAGGATGATGAGGATGATGAGGATGACGGGATGCGTGAGGGTGGATGAGGGCCGCGGAGTGGTGTCCCTTCAAAACGAGGACCCAACACCACAGGAAAGTTTGGAAAAGAGCACACGCTCTGTCCCAGTCTGCCGCGCCCGCCCTCGCGCAAAGCAGTCGCCACCGCTCCTCATCCTTCTCCGCTCCGCCATAGAATCGATGACACGTCCTCCTCATTCTCCTCCCCCTCCTCCTCCCTGTCGCTCATCCTGCCTGTACCTCCTCCTCCTCCCCCTCCTCCCTGTTCTCCTCCTCCTGCCCGTACCGCCTCCTCCTCCTCCTCCTCTTCCTCCTCCCCCCCATCCCTTCGCCTCCTGATCCTGCGTCTCCTCATCCGTTTCATCCTCCATCTCCTCCTCCTTCATGTGCTCATCCTCCTCCTTCGTCTGCTAACCTCCTCCTCCACCTCCTCCTCCTCCTCCTCATCATCATCACCATCATCAGCATCGTCATCATCATCATCATCATCATCATCATCATCATCATCATCATCATCATCATCATCGTCATCATCATCATCATCATCATCATCGTCATCCTCTTCCTCCTCCGTCTACTCCTGGTCCTCCTCACTGCTGTTTCCCCGTGCCGGCCTGTTCGGCCATGACCTCGCCGCTTTCCTCCGCCTCCTCCTGCTCCACCTGTCCCTTCCTACTCCGCTTCTCGTTGCCTCCGGCCGCCTCTCCCTGCGTTGGCGCCGCAGCGGACCGCTCGAGGAGGTCGGGGACCACCGCGCGGCGGGCGAACAAGATCGCGCTCAGGCAGGATCAGGCCCGGCCGCTCTCTCTTTTTTTGTTTCTCTCTCTCTCTCGTTCTCTCTTTCGTTGTTTCTCGCTATCTGTCTCTCTCTCTCTCTCGCTCTCTCTCTATCCCTCTGCCAATATGTCAGCCGGGCTGTTGCTCTCACGCTGTTTGGGTTGTTAGACTGTGCTGCTCGCTCTCTATCTCTTGCTCTCTCTTGCTCTCTCTCTCTCTTTCCGCGGGCTCAGGGTCCTCCGGACCCCCCCCCTAGATGGGATGGGTCCCAGGGTCCCCGGGCCCCCCCCCCCCCCCCCAGATGGGATGGGGGGAGGAGGAGGAGGAGGAGGGGAGGAGGAGGAGGAGGAGGACTACGACGACGACGGCAATGACGACGACGACGACGACGACGACGACGACGACGACGGCAACGGCAATGACGACGACGACGACGACGACGACGACGACGACGACACTGACAACAACGACGACGACAACGACGACGACGACGACGACGACGACGACAACGACGACGACGTCGACGGCATCACCATTGGCGGCGGCGACGACGTCGAGCACCGGAGCTGTCAACATGACGCGAATCCAAGCCACACGCCGCACCCACACCGCACCCACAGGGGGGGAGGGAGGGGGGGAGGAGGACCATGGCGTCACCCCGCACGCACCCACAGCAACACACCACACCCACACCACATCCACAGGGGGGGGGAGCCACCACCCCACGCCCACGCCCACAGGGGGGGGGTCATCGCGCGGGGGGGAGCCCAAACCCTCGACCATGTATATATATATATATATATATGTGTATCGCTATCTTTCCTGCGTTGTGTCTTCATTATGTTGTTGTTTCTCTTTCTCTCTCCCTCTCTCTCTCTCTCTCCGAAGAGGAGGAGGAGGGACGAGGGGGGGTCGAGGAGGCAGGCTTGGGAGAAGGAGGAGGAAGAAGAATGAGGATAAGGAGGCTAGAAAGAGGAGAGGGCGAGAAGGAGGAGGAGGAGGAAGAGGAGGAAGAGGAGGAGACGGAGGCGGAGGAGGAGAAGGGGGAGGTGTAGAGAGAGGAGGTGGAGGAGGCATATGCGGATGAAGGAGGAGGAGGAAGGTCTGAACGGGATCGCCTGCTCGGCCTCCTCCTCTCCCTACGTCCCCCTCCCCCCCCTCCTCCACCTCCTCCTCTTCCTCATCCTACCCCTGGCGGCCGCTTATGGATACAAGCCGTACGCTCCTTGCTGCCGCCTCGGCTTGGTATGGTGCCCGCTCCCCCCCGTCTTTCTCCTTGGTCGTTGCTGCCTTTCCCGAGGGACCGATCCCCTCTCTGACAGCAGGTTTGTGAGCGGCTCTCTGAGTCGCCCGGCCGGACTTGCTTGCTTGCTTGCTTGGTGCCCTGGGCCGTGCACTGGCAACTCCCGACAGGCATCGCCACTGGTGCCCCACGTCCAGTGCGGTGCCAAGCTTGCAGGTTTGCGCGGAGTCTCCCCAATGTACTCCGCAGTTCGATCGACCTCGGACTCTGCTCGGAGCGCCGCCTGCCTACCTGCCTGCCTGCCTGCCTGCATCCTCCTTCTCCTGCTCCTCCTCTCTCTGTTGTTTTGCTCTCTCTCTCTCTCTTTATTTAATTGGTTCTCTATGTGTGTATATATACATATCTATCTATCGGAGGTGAGGGGGTGAGATCGAAGTGGAACGGAGAGCCCCCCTACCGGGAAATCGATTTCGGTTTCGTCTTCGTGCGTGCCGTGCGTGCGGGCGAGGCGAAGCTGCGTAGGCGGGAGAGAAGAAAGTCTCCTGTAGCTGAGGCGCGGCCGGACCAAATGATTCCGGACGGCGTCCGGTGGCCCGCGGTGTCCCGCTGGTGTCCCGCCTCCGGCTGAGGCGCGGTCGGACCAAATGATTCCGAACCGGCGTCCGGTGGCCCGCGGTGTCCCGCCGGTGTCCCGCCTCCGGCTGAGGCGCGGCCGGACCAAATGATTCCGAACCGGCGTCCAGTGGCCCGCGGTGTCCCGCCGGTGTCCCGCCCGTGTCCCGTCGGTGCCCCGATGATGATGATGATGATGATGATGATGATGATGATGATGATGATGATGATGATGATGATGATGATGATGATGATGATGTCGATCATGTTGATGATGATGATGATTGTGATGGTGGTGATGCTGATGGTGTCCCGATGATGATGATGCTGACGATGTTGAGGATGATGGTGGTGATGGTGGTGATGATGATGGTGTCCCGATGATGATGATGCTGATGATATGGTGCCCCGGTGATGCTGATGATGATGTTGATGATCATGAGAATGTTGATGATGATGAGATGATGATAATGATGATGGCGTCCCGATGATGATGTTGATGATGATGAGGTTAATGATGATGCTGTTGATGATCATGATGGTGATGATGATGATGATGGTGTCCCGATGATAATGATGATGGCGCTGATGATGATGACGTTGATGGTGTTCCCAATGATGATGGTGATGATGAGGATGATGAGGATGATAATGAGGTGATGGTGATGTTCTTTCATTACGGTGCCCCGATGATGGTGATGATGATGATGTTGATGTTGATGATGATGGTGATGGTGTCCCGATGATGATGGTGATTATGATGGTGATGATGATGATGGTGACGATGACGATGGTGTCCCGGTGATGATGATGATGATGATGATGACGATGACGGTGATGATGATGATGTTGCTGATGATGTTGATGGTACCCCGATGACGGTGATGATGATGGTGATGATGTTGATGATGGTGTTCATGATGATCCTGATGTGACGATGTTGATGATGGTGGGGTTCCGATGATGTTGATGATGATGATGATGATTGTATGATGTTGATGATGATGATGTTGATGATGATGGTGACGATATGATGGTGTTCCGTGTATGATGATGATGCTGATGTTGATGATGACGGTGGTGAGGTGATGCTGATGGTGTTCCGATGATGCTGATGCTGATGCTGATGCTGATGCTGATGATGATGTTGATGACGTTGATGACGATGATGTTGAGGGGATGATGATGACTTTGATTGTGAGATCGATTGTGAGATCGATTGCGAGATCGATAGTGAGACCGAATGTGAGATCGATTGTGAGATCGACCATGAGATCGATAGTGATATCGATTGCGAGATCGATCGTCAGATCGATTGTGAGATCGATCAAATGAGATAGATCGAGTGAGATCGATTGTGAGATCGATCGAGTGAGATCGAGCGAGCGAGACCGATAGTGAGATCGATTGTGAGATCGATAGGGGGACCGATCGAGTGAGACGTTGGTTCCTCCCTCCCCCGAACCTCCTTATCACCCAAAGGGTGGTCGTATGGCTGTGTATATATATATATATATGTATGCCCTCCTCGTCCCCCTCCTCCTCCTCTTCATCTCCATTATTATGCCCCTTATTCCTCCTCCTCCTCGTCCTCCTCCTCCTCCACCTCCTCCTCCGTTTCTCCTCCCCTCCTCCACCGCCTCCTCCATGTTCTCCTCCTCCTCCTCCTCCTCCTCCTCCCCTACGTATCATTTGCAGCAGCAGCTTCATCATCCTTCGCCTCTCACCCCCCCCCCCATCCTGCTCCACCCCCTCCTCGTCCTGTCTCTCCATCTCCTCCTCCCCTTCTCCGCTGGGGGAGACGGAGGTCCCAGATCCCCTGGGCCGCACCTCTGGGCCTGCAGCCCCAGGCCAGGCGATCTCCGGGCTGTTGGGGAAAAAGACGCCGCGGCAGCGGCGGGGAGCCCAGGACAAGGAGGAGGGCGTTGCTGTGTGAGCTTCTCGGCTGACCTCCTCCTCCCCTTGGTCCTCCTCCTCGTCCTCCTCCTCCTCCATGTCCTCCTCCTCCTCCTCCTCCTCCTCCTCCTTGTCCTCCTCCTCCTCATCATCCTCCTCATCCTCCTCCCCCTCCCCTCCCCCCTCTTACCTTCACCACATGCGGTCAGGAATGTTCGATCGGTGTGCCGCTCTGCCCGTGCTGGCCCACCACGCTTCGGCGCGACACGCTAACTGCGTCCCCACTTCCAAGCGTCAACGTCCCGAGCTCTACCCCTCCTCCCGCCTCGCGGAGCGGAGCGACACGCTGTCAGCTCGAAAAACTGACCGATCGCCAAGGTCGCAGCCGCGACACACTGAGCAAACGTTCCCGACCGCATTCCCTTCTTTCGGCATCCACCTCCACAGCAGTGCCTCCACCTCCCGGTTGTCTCCCCCGTGCCCGGGCGACCACCGCCCTCCTTGCGGCCAGCAGGTCATCCCGTGGTACGACCGGCTCGTCCAGCCTAAGACGGACTCGGCTGGCGTCGGTGTCTGGGCGGAGAAGTTGAACATGACCACGGTCTTCCAGCCCAACGGCGAGACAATACCAGCGACCATCCTGGTGATCAAGAGGGGCGGCAACGTGGTTACGGACAAGAAATGGCCTGAGCGACACGGTGGCTATAGGGTCGAGGTCGGCTACAACAGGTACGTCGCTCAGGAGTGCAGTGAGGAGGAGGAGGAGGAGGAGGAGGAGGAAGAAGCGCAAGAGAAGGAGGAGGAGGAGGGAATGGAGGGAGAGGAGGAAGAGGAGGCTGAGGGGGACGTGGGAAGAGGAGGAGCAGGAGGAGGAGGGAATGGAGGGAGAGGAGGAGGAGGATGAGGGGGACGGGGGAAGAGGAGGAGGAGAGGAGGAGGAGGAGGACGAGAGGAGAGGACAGGAAGGAGACGGAGGAGGAGGAGGCGAAGGCGGAGGCGGAGGAGGAGGAGGAAAAAAAGGAGGGGGAGGAGGAGGAGGAGAGGAGAGGAGGAGGAGGAGGAGGAGGAGTAAGAAGGGGGGGGTAACGGGCGCGATACGAAGCCATGGCCACAGCAAGGTGTGTGCGTTTAGCATCCACAAGGGGGCGCCAGGAGGAGGATGGGGGGAGACGGAGGAAGAGGACGAGGCGGAGGAGGCGGAGGACAGGAAGGAGGAGTGGGCAGACGCTACGGCCATACCAATTGTAAATCAAGGCGTTGTAAGTACGTAGGAGAAGGAAGAGGAGGACGAGGAGGAGGGGAGGGAGGAGGAGGAGGAGGAGGGCAAGACGAGGAACGAATGGGGGTGGCAGAGCGGGGAGGGGAAGAGATGGATGAGGGGTTGAGGAGATAGCGAGAGGTGGACGGGGGAGGAGGAGGAGGAGGAGGAGGAGGAGGAGGAGGAGGACGAGGAGGAGTGGGGAGGACGATATGCAGTTTGTGGGGAGGACGAGGAGGAGGAGGAGGAGGAGGAGGAGGAGGAGGAGGAGGAGGAGATGGAGGGTGGAGGGAGGTAAATGTTCGGCTCAGGACTGGGAGATGAAGAATGCAGGAGGGCGCGGCGGCAAGATCAACAGGCTGGCCGCCGCTGACCTACCGCCCCTGCAGAAGATCAAGTCGTGGGCCGTCCGGCCACAGGAGCCGGGACGCGATTCCAATCGCTCCTCGTCTACAGGCGCTGTCAAGCAACAATCATGCTCGGCGGTTTGCCCACCCAGACCTACGGTCGGATCGAGGTATAAAAGCGGCGTCGGTTCGGAGAGGGTCACCTCTACAGTTCTTTAGACCCCCCCCTCCGCAATAGGGGGTAATTTCGGCGGCCTTATTCAAGGACTGAGGCCCACCAATAGGGGGTAACTGTTCCCAACCATCGTGTGGTATTGGGTCCTGGTTTTGAAGAGACAGCGCCCCGCGTTCCTTCCTCCTCCCGCTGCCCCCTCCCTCCTTCTCGCATCATCGTCATCATCGTCATCATCATTATCAGCATGAAAATAATGATAATCATAATAACCATAATCATCATCACCATCGTCATCATCATGATCATCATCAGCATCATCATCATCATCAGCATCATCATCATCATCACCATCGTCATCATCATCATCATCATCACCATCAGCATCAGCATCATCATCATCGCCATCATCATCATTATTATTATCATCATCATCATCACCGATCTCGGCACCGCCCCATTTAGGTACACCCCATTTGGGCACCTCTCACGAGGATCAATAGGACCTCCACCGAAGGCGCCAGTAGCACAGTTCGCATGGCGTCCTCGGGCCATTTCGGTACACCCCTCACGAGGATCGTGGCTCCAAAGGAGCTCCACCGAAGGCGCCAGTAGCAAAGTTCGCATGGCGGCCTCGGGCCATTTCGGCACAACCCTCACGAGGATCGTGGCCCCATAGGAGCTCCACCGAAGGCGCCAGTAGCAAAGTTCGCATGGCGGCCTCGGGCCATTTCGGTACACCCCTCACCAGGATCGTGGCCCAATAGGAGCTCCACCGAAGGCGCCAGTAGCACAGTTCGCATGGCGGCCTCGGGCCATTTCGGTACACCCCTCACGAGGATCGTGGCTCCAAAGGAGCTCCACCGAAGGCGCCAGTAGCAAAGTTCGCATGGCGGCCTCGGGCCATTTCGGCACAACCCTCACGAGGATCGTGGCCCCATAGGAGCTCCACCGAAGGCGCCAGTAGCAAAGTTCGCATGGCGGCCTCGGGCCATTTCGGTACACCCCTCACCAGGATCGGATCGGGCTCCAAAGGAGCTCCACCGAAGGCGCCAGTAGCAAAATTCGCATGGCGGCCTCGGGTCATTTCGGCCCACCCCTCACGAGGACCGTGGCCCCATATGAGCTCCACCGAAGGCGCCAGTGGCAAAGTTCGCATGGCGGCCTCGGGCCATTTCGGTACACCCCTCACGAGGATCGTGGCGCCATATGAGCTCCACCGAAGGCGCCAGTGGCAAAGTTCGCATTGCGGCCTCGGGCCATTTCGGCACACCCCTCACGAGGATCGTGGCCCCATATGAGCTCCACCGAAGGCGCCAGTGGCAGGGTTCGCATGGCGGCCTCGGGCCATTTCGGCACAGCCCTCACCAGGATCGTGGCCTCATGGGAGCTCCACCGAAGGCCCCGATGGCAGGGTTCGCATGGCGGCCTCGGGCCGTTTCGACACACCCCTCACGAGGATCGTGGCCCCATAGGGGGCTCAACCGAAGGCGCCAGTGGCAAGATTCGCATGGCGGCCCCGCCACAGTTCGGCACACCCCTCACGAGGACCGTGGCCCCATTTGGAGCTCCACCGAAGGCGCCAGTAGCAAAGTTCGCATGGCGGCCTCGGGCCATTTCGGCACACCCCTCACGAGAATCGTGGCCCCATAGGAGCTCCACCAAGGGTGCCAGTGGCAGGGTTCGCATGGCGGCCTCGGGCCATTTCGGCATACCCCTCACGAGGATCGCGGCCACATAGGGAGCTTCACCGAAGGCCCCAGTGGCAGGGTTCGCATGGCGGCCTCGGGCCATTTCCACACACCTTTCACGAGGATCGTGGCCACATAGGGAGCTCCACCGAAGGCGCCAGTGGCAAGATTCGCATGGCGGCCTCGGGCCATGTCGGCACAACCCTCACGAGGATCGTGGCCCCATATGAGCTCCAGCGAAGGCGCCAGTGGCAAGGTTCGCGTGGCGGCCTCGGGGCATTTCAGCACACCCCATCACGAGGATCGTGGCCCCACAGGGGCTCCACCGAAGGCGCCAGTAGCAGGGTTCGCATGGCGGCCCTGGGCCATTACGGCACACCCCATCACGAGGATCGTGGCCCCGTAGTTGTGCTGCTTCAACAACCGCGCCTGGGCGTCGTACTCCGCCTTGTCGACGTGCAACGCCACCTCCTCCCTCATGGCTCTCAAAGCCCTCTCCTGCTTCTGCTCCTCGGTCAGCGGGACGCCGTCCTTGTCGTCGTCGACGCCCGCGAAGACGGCCACGAACGTGTTCCTGAGCATGTCGGGATCCAGCGGGAAGCCGTGGCCACATCGGGAGCGCGGGCGAAGATGGTATTCCGGTATTCACAACTCCATATGGTTGGGTCGTTCGCCAGGCTAATTGTTTTCCCGCGGCACCGCCGCGCAACAACGACGACGACAGCTACAGTTACGATTGCGACTACGACTACGACGACGACGACTACCTATGCCTCAGGAGCGCTCTCGCCGAAAACCCTATATCAAAAACTCGATTCTCAGAAACGTTATCCTCAGAAACTCCACCCTTGAAAGGACTGCTGAATCTCAGGCCCCACCAGGGCCCTCAGAAGCTCCATCCTCAGATGTTCCATCCTCATAAGCTCCACCCCAGCGAAGAATGTGTCGATCTATCGTGCAATCCTCTTACAAACGTGTTCAACATTCCTTTGTCGTTCAGGGTGCCCCACGGGGCATCATTCCCTCAGAGAGAGAACCGTCCAGCATTATCCAGCCCGGTCAACAATAGAGGGCACATATTATCCGCCGCGACGACGACGACGCTTACAATTACGACTAAGATTACGACTACGATTCGGACCACAATCGCGACGACGATTACGACTACCATCGCGATTACAGTCACGAGTATGGCGACGACTACACTCACGTCTACAACCACAACCACTGAGTCTCATTGCAATCCTCATGGGGAGATGTTCACAAATACTCTCGCGTGCAGGGTCGCTCACAAAGG